GGAAAGAGTTGAGATTTCTTTGAGATGCTTTTAAATGATAATTTTGACCTAAGTGGCATAGAAGTCATTTTGCCTCACACTGCTGATATGGCAATACAAGTTGTGAAAGTATACAAAAGTGGTGCTAAAATTAATAATCATTTATTCAATAGTGTTATTATTGAAATTAACCCACATATATATATATATTCCTTTTTGCTAGTCATATATCTCCTTTTGTTTAGGACGAGGATTTAAAAATCCAAAATGGATTGTTGTTGGCGTATTAAAGAAGTAATGATCTCTTTTATTTTGCACTAGAGAAATTTCATGTCGAGGGGCACTAATTACTACTATTACCGGGTTGGTTCTAAAGAACACCAATCATTAATCACTATTAGGAGGAAGTGAATGCAGTCATTTGTATTAATAAATTGAAGGATACAAGAGAAATACACACTTTATTCGCAAAAGTTTAAACATACGTATAGAATCTCAAAAAATAAAATAAAATAAAATAATACACGATACATTGCTTCCAATTGCAGGAGCTTGAAACGTCGAAAACTAACCAAAAATTTGGTTGTAAATATACAGAAGAAGTTAAATTAAGCAAGCATTAAAGGTAAAATAAGTCTCTATCGCCTTTGGAAGTTTAAGACCTTAATAGCAAAGGCAAAGATGACGGCAAAAGCCAGAGCGAACACAACGCAGACGACAGCAACCACTCCCAGGAAATCGTGATCAAATCCGTAATAACGGTCCACATAATTCTTCACCGACTCGCCAGTCTCAGCTACGGGGGTGCTGATGTCACCGTACTGCGACACCACAAGTCCGTACAAAGTCCACGCGACGGGACATGCCCAGTAGTACCACACCCACCACCCCGGCATCCTCTGTCGAAAACAAAAAAACCAACAGATTTAGTCAACTAGGTTTTAACATTAATATAGAGCAATGAAGACGGTGTTCAAACAGACATGATCATGATCAAAGTAAAAGCTTACCGGGCGAGGAATAACGAATCCGGAGAAGAGGTTCCATAAGCCATAGAAGGCGGCAGACACAATTTGAGCAATGCTGACGTTCGGCGTGAGGGCCACAGTCATCATGCCGTAGTATGTGAAGTACATCAAGGCGAAGAAGGTGAAGAAGAGGTACCAGAAGAACTTTGCGACAGTCCATTCGAAACCTATCATCGCGTACACTATGAGGCAATAAACTACGGCCTGACATACAAGGTATGGAAGCTCAACCGCCGTCTGCCCACAAGAAAGTTAAGAAGATGTTATTTTGTTATGGATTTGATCAATAAAACTAGCCAAAGGGCCATATAGTTTCACATAATAAATTTGGACTCTGTTTGAAATTTAAAAAAAAATGCACCTGTCCGAATGTGTACGGAAAAGCTGCATACATGCCGGCTGCTTTTTCTCTATAGAAGACTGCTCTCTCTACGGAAACAACTGGTTGCACAGACATAGCATTTTGGACTCCGATGAAGAAGACCGCGGCATACATAGACCCCATTGCGTTGCTCAGATTTTGTTGCTTCGACCTGCATTTTAGTATTTCCAAGTTCAGATATTGCACACATGAGAAAATATAGACTAAGAAACGGGCTAAATAGTACCAAATTAGTAAATATTTAGCTGTGTCACTTTGCTTGAGACTTACGTTTTAGATCCCATGTCCCAGAACATAGTGCCAAACATGAGTGCTATGCCTGTAGTGAACAAAAATCTCACGGCGGTGTAAGGCGGGTTCCGCCAGTAAGACCAGCGTTGTTTCCAGAAGCAAGCCATGCACTGGGTGAGGAATGATCGTGAGAATTGAGTAGGGAAATAGAGGTCCTTCGAACCAGGTGCCGGGGTGCTCAATTCCTTAATAAGATCTTTGTTTCTCCTGAAAACATTGTCAGCAACTGATTAAGCATTTTTCCCTCCCAGATGACATAAACTATTTATGTATTTGCTAATGAATTAAACTGACCTGTATAGATCTGAATTCTGGTACAGATCTGTAAAATCAACCCCCAAAGACATTTCTTGCGCAGGACCAGTGACTTCCAACATCCAAGTCGCAGGGTTGTAACCGTCTTTAATTTTAGCGACACCTTCAATTGACTTCATGACAGAAATGCAAATAAATTAGCGATCTTATGGATAAATATTTGTAATTTTAACTTAAACAAGAAATAAGGATTTGATCTCTTCTTTGCTTCATTGAATCCTACCTCAAAATAGTTTATTAGATGGCAAGAATGGCGGCCTAATGGACCCACATATATTTCTTGTCCTCCTCTCTTCATAAGGAATAGCTGCAAACCACATGTTTTAATTAGTAATCAAATGCAACTATAAAACAGACCATACAAGAAATTAAAAACCAGAGAATTATGAAATACTAAAACAATTCTTTAAATTACCTCATCAAAAGCTTCAAAAATGTCAATGCTAGGCTGATGAATGGTGCACACAACGGTTCTCCCAGTGTCCACCGTGTTCCTAACCGTTCTCATGACAATGGCCGCAGCTCTAGCATCTAATCCTGATGTTGGCTCGTCCATGAATATAATTGAAGGGTTTGCCACTAGCTCAACTGCAATAGTCAACCTTTTACGCTGCTCGGTTGAGAGACCGTTGACTCCGGGCAATCCCACCAACGCTTGCCTCAATGGAGCAAGTTCCACCAATTCCATCACTTCCTCAATGAACATCTGTTCATGTCATGTAATTATCAAGTCAGTTCATGTTGTTCATAGTTAACAAATGCATTGGAAGATAAGATCAAAATAGAGGGTAAATAGAGGTATATTTGGGTGCACCACCAACCTTTCTGGTTTCAGAATCAACTTCAGCCGGTAAACGAAGCCAAGCAGAGTAAAGCAACGACTCATAAACAGTAACATGCGGGGAGTGGATGTCATTCTGCTCACAATATCCAGAAATTCGTGCAAATGTTTCTTGATTCTTAGGGTAACCAGAAATTCTAATGTCTCCATCAATGTATCCGCCGGTTTTCCTACCAGCAAGAACATCCATCAAAGTGGTTTTACCAGCACCACTAACTCCCATAAGTGCTGTCAAAACACCAGGCCTGAAGCTACCACTCACACCCTTCAAAAGAACCAATCTATCCTCCTCAATTCCTTGACTTCTCATTTCCTGCAGGTTCAGTTCCGACATTCAACAAAAAGTGTACTTTATTATTAGAAATGCATGAAATAGGAAATAACTTACAAAACTCTTAGTAATGTCCAATTCTTTTCAACTCACCGGTGGCATGTCCACTGCGTATACGACATTATCGAAGACAATGGAATGCGGTTCAAATGGAAGAATCATTCCCTTTTTCCTGTTCTCACTTTCACCTGCCTGGCCTTGGTGGCTTGAACTATCTTGCAACTCAACGGCTCCATCGCTCTGAGGATCTTCAGTTTTAGCTACAGCTCGCACCTTATCAAATGCTGCAAAATCGTACGTTACAACACTAGTACGTAATTTTTCTTAATGCTTCTTCTTTCTCTCACTTAAAAACTTATTAGACTGAATAAACATAGAGGAAACTCACCGTTGAGCCAAGTGAGAGCCAGAGTATACAAGAGGTTTAAAACTAAGATGAACCCAATCAACGCCCCCGTGCCAATCCAATACCATTTCGACTCATAAAAGAATCCTCGGCCTTTCAAAACTTCAATTCCTAGAGGCTCTGTTGAGCCTGCTACACGCTATTACAATAAGGAAAACACAAAAATCTCAGACGACTGTTCCCAATGAGTACCAGAGGCCAAAATGCACAGACCAACAACTTCAAGAACTTACATGTCTCCATTTCTTGCCGAGGAACTCATTGACTAGAACCGCAGTCTGACCGTACATCAGAGGCGAACACCAGTAACCCCAAATCCACCAATCCTTGATATCCTCTGTTGGCATAAAAGCAAATAAAAAAATGAATATCTATTACAAGGAAAATAATTACATGAAAGAAGTGGTCCCCTTTTGATGAATTTGCAGAACTAGTCCGTTGTACCTCTAGACAGAACAAAACCACCCAATGTAAAGAGCAAGAGCAGCACAAATGATCCGAACGTGTTGGCTATAATATTGTTTCTAGCAGTAGCTGCTATAGCCCGGAACAAACCGGAGGCCATTTGGTTAATAAAAAAGAGCACAAGCAATTGTTTGAACAACCTGCAATTGTTGAAAATAATGAAAAAGCGTGAAGTGAGATCACTATTGGACAAAGAATCAGACCTTCAACAACTGGAATTAAGTTAATAATTTTTTTCTCTTTTTTTTTTTACACTACCTTGCAACACTTGGGTCCAATCCTGTAGTATAGTATGTAATGGCCACCCAAACTACGACTTCTAGGACTGAGATAGGGATCTTGAGAATCCATGATGGAAGACCATAAGCCCAAGCAGGGTAAAAGTGTAGGTCCCTTTGCTTGTAGAACACGGGAAGCTTGGCAATCGTCATAGAGAGCTCCGACATTCCATTGAACATGATCATGATCACAGTAAAGAACAAAGAGCCGACGTAAATATTACCATCATCAATGTTTCTACGATGCATTTCGGTTCTTAGGAAAAGTGTGGCAGAAACCAGGGCCATTATACAAAGCTGAAAGAAGAGGACAAAAAGAAAAGTTAGAAATTCATATGCTAAAAAAAAGAATTTAACGGAAAATCAAGGCAGTTAAAGTAAATACTTGGACAATCTTGAACATGTAGACAAAGGAGTTTCTGTTCATAAGCAACCATTCTCTTGAAAATGAAGCTTTGATGAGCTCCTTCGTTTTCACACCATATTCTTTGGTCGTCAAAGCAGCCGGGTGACTCTTGCTCTTGTCGAATCCGGTCGAAAGCTCATCTCCTAGTTTCTGTCCCACGTGAAACGATTGGAATGCCTCAGCAAATTCTTTGACAGTGATAAACCTGTAAGGTTCCTCTTTTCGTGCCCAATATTGGGCCTGATCTTTCTTTGATGTGACTTCTTGAAGAAAGTCAGCTACACCTTTCCTCTCAGGACATTTAAAACCCATAGATTCGAAAAAATCAAGCACGTATTCACGGGGACCTTGATATACTATTTGGCCATCGGATAGAAGAATGATATCGTCGAAAAGGTCGTAAGTCTCTGGTGCTGGCTGAAGTAAGGAGATGACATTGGTTCCCCTAAAGATATGGACATATTGCTTGAGGCAGTTAACGATTTGGTAAGTTGTGGAACTGTCCAAACCAGTTGAAATTTCATCCATTAACAACACTCCAGCTGGGCCGACAAGCATCTCACCTGTATTGAATTAGTAAGTACTTACTTCTACAGATACGACAAAAGAAAGCGTTTGAATTGCTGATAAGACAACGGAAGTGTTTGAATTGCTATTAATAGTTGAGTTTTTATACCAGTTGTGACACGCTTTCTTTGTCCTCCAGAGATACCCCTCAACATTTCATCTCCCACCACAGTGTCCGCACAAATATCCAGTCCCAAAATCTGTGATTGATTTTAATAATTGTTACTAAGAAATTGAGAGAAATAATCTAATTCTCTTCAAAAATATTCTAAGTTCTGCTAAAGGATGTTCACCTTCAAGACATAATCTGTCACCACATTTGTCTCTTGGCCTTCTGTTGCGACAGCCTAGAGTAGAAGAACACACCAAAAAGAATAACATCAAGCCTCAAACTTTTAACATAAATTTGTACATTTTTTCAATTAATTTTGGATTTTAAGTTTCAAAATGCAATTCCAGTGTACGATGAAAGTAGTTAGCTAGCTCTTATTTTTATGTCCAATTGAAAAAGCCAAGTCTCTCTAGCCTCTTTTGACACAAATTCCCTGTGTATGGAACTATTTATTCTCACCTTCATGTAGACATCGATATCTGGATCGGGTTTGATATTAGCTTCTTTCTCTCTTCTAGACAATTCTGCAAGCATGTCTGCACATTTCCAAACAAAAATTTATCATGTGCTCAATTTACATAAAACCCTGTTTTTAGCAACGCAATTCGAGAAATGAACTGACCATAACGCGACCCGACTCCTTGGCATCTGGCAGAGAAAGCCAAAGTTTCCCTCACAGTCATTTCTCCAATATGAACATCATATTGACTGATGTAGGCAGCAGTTCTCCTCGGCACAAACTCGTTCATGCCATGCCCATTGTAAGTCACTCTCCCAGAAAACTGTAATCGCAGATTTTGGTTTTCATGTTTTATTAGAGATTAGAGTAATCAAATTAATTTAGTATAGAGCTAGATATTTAAAACCCATCAAAGAATCAAACTTATCAAAAGTAAAATTCTCTCACCCTCAACTCTGAGTCGAGCTTTCCAGCCAAAGCCAACAAGAGTGTGGTCTTGCCGGAACTCGGAGGACCCAAAAGCAGTGTCAATCTGAATATTTACATTTAACCAAAAAACAAAGATTATCAAAGATCCATAACAAAGCAATTATGTGAATTAAAACATGAATAAATAAATTTAATTTGATCCCTCTTCCTCACCTTCCGGGCTTTATGATTCCATTAACATCATCGAGGATGGTCAGTTGTCGCTTTTTACTTTTGAAAATTGGCAGAAAGCCGAAGAAAATCTTGAATATTGAAACAAAAAAAAAATGTGAGAACAATAATCACTGTACGACACATTAAAACTAACAATATGTAATTTTCTTTTTATATGTAACGTTGATCATATGGTCTAATATTGCAGAGTGTTTACCTCGACTATGCTATTTAGGAAGTTAACAAAGGAAGGCAAAGCTCTGCTTCCTACATAAGCATCTGCCTCTATTTTAAGATGCTCATATCGCACTTCGATCGTCGGAAGCTCAACTCCGACTCTGAAATTTTTCAATCACAAGCAATATCCAATACAAGAAAAATCAGAAACATCATAAATCAAAAAAACTAGAAAAATAATATTAACGGTCTAATTTCCATGAGAAAAAACTCAGCTTCCCCTGTTTAGCTACAGCTATAAAACAAGAAAGACGTGTGGTTTAGTACCTTTCAATACGATTTCTGAGCTTCAACAAGAATTTCTCGTTGTCCTCCTCAGCTGTTTTGACCAACCTCTCAATCAAGTCCCTCCTCTCCTTAAGTCCGAGGTTGTCGACATCGATTTCACTCGGACGGCCCTGAGATGTCGTGAGTATGCCTTTCCTTAAACGAGCATAAGTTGGAAGCTTTTCCAACGCAGCCCATTTCAGAGCTTCTTCATCGTCCTCATCCCGTGAAGACTTTGAGAAAATCTCAGTAGTATTGTTCCTCCATAATGTAGAACTTTGGCTTCTGAAACTGCCGGCCTTAAAGATTTCGCCGCGATCCATTTCGAAAAACCCAGAAAAACGTTTTCCTTCAACGACTTTCAATGCTTTCAAGTTTGTGTATAGCTAATCTATTCAATGTTGAGTTATATAAGTTGCAATCACAAAAGAAGAGAACCCAGATGTGTTTTTCTTTTTTTTTTTTTCCTTCTCTGTCTTTCTTTTCTGGTCGGAAAATGTATTCTTGAATATTGGAATTTGGAAGTCGTTCTGAAAGGCTTGTATATTTATATGGAAAGAAAATGGCCTTCTAGAAGTACTGCAGAGAAATAGGCCACATGAGTCCTTATGGTTTTGGCGGAAATTCAACAATACTTTCCAAAAAGCTTGGTTAAATAATTTTGAGTACGAAGAACTTATTAAATTCAAACGTCAAAAATAAAATAAAATAAAAAAATCAAAGGCAGACATTATTTCGCTGTACGTAACGTGTGCCAAGTTAGTCAAACTATGGTGGCTAAAACAAAAGCCAATGTGGGTCACACTCACACTTGCATTACAAGGGACAAAATTATATGGTCCATGAAAGCGAATAATCTCTGGTTTGAAATTAGTGAAAGATTAATAAAAATATGACTTTTAAACTACAGTAAAAATATAAATACTTTTTTCTAAAAAAATTCATAGAATATTAATAAAGATGGTGATTATGTTATTTCACACACTTTCTATGTTCAGAGAATTTTGATCAAACTACTAACATTAAGGCAGAAAAATCTATGAAAGAAAGCTTCAAGTAAATGACTTGAAAGAAAGCTTCAAGTAAATGACATGAAAGGTTGAATTTTTCTATGTATCCTTTTAACTTGTGACTAAGGGAACATGGGGTGAGAATATCAAAACTTCTTATTTTATGATTCCATTCCATCCAACGATAATGGTCCTTGGTGGCTACGAACCAATGGTTGCCTCCATTATTGACAAGACTTCGTAACACTTGTATGGATCGTAGTACCTTCCCAATTATTTTATTTTATCTTTTTGGGAAATTAGTTCTTTGCTAATTAATTAATAATTAGTCCAAGACCTTGTCCGGAGAATATTTCAATAGAGTATTAAAAAATAATAAAATATTTGGACATGGAATATTACTTTAAAAAATATATATTAGATTAAAAAAGAATAAAATAACAAGAATATGTACACCCTTTTGATCATGATATATTCACATATCCGCCCCACCTTTTTATTGCTCACGTTAACAATACGTCTTTGCTGAAAATTCCTATTTAGGATTTGTTAATTTTCTATGTATTTACTATTATTACAAAAGAGTTACTCAAAGGCAAGTGAAAACAATAGTTTGTAATCCTTCAAGGAAAAAAAAAAAAAGAAACAGTTTCTACTTTCTACGGAGAATTATATATATTGGGACGACATATTATTACTGTAGTCTAAATATATAACATGATTTATAAATTATAACGATTTATTCCAAAAGAAAAACGTTAAAGATGTAGGTTTCCTTTATATATATTTACTGTAACAATCAAAAAATTTAACCGCAAGAGCACAACCAAATGTAAGGGGAGAAGAAGGGAAAAAAAAAAAAAACCATTTTGGACAATATCATGCCTTTTTTTTTTTGGAAATATAATATTACCAAACCAGCTGCCATCACTTCCCTTATTATCCGTAAATAGATCCAAAAAAGACTATAATGAAAACTCTTGATCTTACGTTGATGAGATAAGAAATCCTCCATAATTGAATTTCAATGTGAATTCAGGACACGTTAGGTACATCGTATAAACACTTTGTATTGTATTATTTAATAATAATACAATATTTGGTAATATTTATATATTGTATAATTTAATACGAGATTCAAAATTAATACAATATGAAGTGTGATATTTAATACGAAAAAAAACTATGTACTAAACCGTATTATGCAATTTAACTTAAAATATCATATTAAAAATATATAAAACATCTCTCAAATATTAAGGCTTGAGGTTGGGTTTTGAGACTAACGTTAGGGTCGAGTTTCGGAATCGGAAAGATGTTGGGTTTATATTTTTTAAAAATTACATTTTGGCTCTTAAAATTTTTTAAAAAATTATATTTTAACCCCTAAATTTTTTTTTAAAATATGTTTTTACCCCTTGACTTTTTTAAAATTATATTTTTGCCCCTTAAATTATTAAAAATTATAATTTGACCCTATTTTTAAAAAAATATTTTATAAAAAGGCCCATATGTAGTAACTCTACTTTCTCCCTTGCTTCCTTCAAATGTTAGGATCGAATCGAGATTAGAGTTAAATTAGGTTATGATTAGGCTTAAATTTTATATTATTACAAACTAATACGTAAATAAATTATAATGGTAAAAATAGTATAATGTTTAATAATACCACCAACCAAACATCGTATTGTATAAAAATTATATAATGTAATACAATATAATATAATACAATATAATATGATGCACCAAACATGCCCTCAATATCTTCTTATAGAATCAAGGGTTTTTTTTTACATGAGAAATTAAGAGAATATTAGGTAAATGATTGTTTTTTTACTATCTTTTTTAATAGATGGCCAAACTTTTTATTTTTTAAATAAGTGGTCGAACTTTTTTCCGTAGTTAATTAATAATTGATCGACGGTCAATCACTGATTGACCTATTCATTATTATAATTTATTAATGATCTATCATTAATAAACATGTAATTTATTGATTGAAATTAATTAACTACTAATTGATTTTAACTAATTATTAACTAATATTGATTAATAATGAAAAATTATCGAGTTAATCAATGATAAACATAAATCAATCAGTGATTTAAGCTGTCAATCACTAATTGACTGCTAATCAATCAGTGATTGACTATTTAGTTAATAAAAAAATGGCCATTTTGCTAATTTTACAAACCTTTGACTATGTTTTATTTATTTTTTTTTAAATCTTTAAAAAGGGACATTTGCCTCTATATTCCAGAAATTAATATTGTGAAATTAAGTCTTCATTTATTATCATTAATTCATGAAATTCACAGTCATCCATTGTGTAATGTACTTTATTTAGACATGATTACAATTTACAGGGGACAAATCTCTTTCGACGATCTCCTAATTTCTGTCATTCACAAAATTTTAGGAATCCAATTCTGACTAGTTGACAATAATGAATTCTGAATGTGTAATCAGATTTTTTTTTCTTTAAGCGAATCATAAAGAAATTTCACTCTTCTTTGTTGTCTATGACCATCTATGAAAGTCAAATGTTTGATATGCTTAATACTACTGTATTGTTTTTTTTTTCTCCAATGAACAATGTATTCTTGTTATCATAGTTATTAATCTTTGAAATATGTAAAATAAGTTTTTACTTTTAAAGTAATTTAAAAATGAGAATGTTGTAATGAGTAAATGAGAAAAATAAATACATCGACCAATCAGTATTTAAATGTTAAAATTTTATAAATGTTATACTTGATGTTAAATTTCATATTTCTTCTAATCAACAAATATAATTGTTGCAACTCATAATTCAAAGTGGGGGACTTAACCATAAAGTATTGTGTTTTCTTTTGGCATAAAGTCTATGATTTATAATTAGAAGGGGAACTAACTTAACATTTAAATGCTAGTATGTAATTACAAGACCAAAAATAGATAATTGGAATATTTTTCCTATTATTTTAAGAGGTTATTTGGTTGAATAAAGTGGGTTCACAGGCACGCTTCTTGCTTATCCTTATCCACACTCTACCTCATTATATCGTCGGTCCTTTTCACACACAAAGCCCTGACGAGGGGTGGGGCCTAAAAAAGAAAGAATTAAATTATTTGTGAGACGTTTAGTTTATATATTCAGAATTGTAATTTATGATTTTAATTTTTAAAATTAAACACTATAAAAAATTAAGAACTATGATTCAGAATCAGAGACGAACTTTTAAAACAAACATGCCATTAGAGATTCATTATCAATGGTGTACTGTTAATTTAAGGATTTTTTTTGGTAGACTTTTTATTATTAATGTCAGTTTTTAACCGTTGAATATGATAAGAATCATATTAAACTAAAAAAATCTACAAAATAAACAATTTCTAACTATACTGATATGATGATTGAAAAGTAAAAAATTGACGGTAACTTATTTTTTCTAGTCTTACCGGATAAATTCCCTTAAAACTTTGACTTAATTTATTTGGTATTCGTTGCGTGTTGTGTGGTTTATGATATAAGTTATATTAACGGTTTGGAGAGAGAGAGATGAGTAACGATAACAAAAGGGACAGTTGAAGATTAGTAAGATAAGTTATATTTTGTTGTACAATTTCTTTCTTTGAGAACTGTCCTGGGAAGTTTCCCTTCCATTTTCTTTTTTTAGGGGAAAAAAAAAAGATTGACTATATAAGAAATTGAGGCGGCCATTTGGAGCTGATAGATGTCCGAATGATGTGATCTATTGTCGCCTCATCCCATTAGTCTAGGTGTTATGGTTATATATTGCTCTACACAATGAGCTGCATGTCTAACTCTTATTTATTTTTATTTTTGAAATAAAATTATTTTAATATTTTATGTTATAACAAAACATATTCTTAATATTTTATGTTTTTTATAATATTAAGAATGTTTAAAAATATATTTCTAGTACCTGAAGTTGATTTTTGAGATATATAATGTCCAAACTACTATTCTTATTAATTAAATAGAAATTAATCTTTTTTTTTTAAATCTAATAATATTTTAAAACATTTAAATATATTGTTAAAGAAAACAATAAAATAAAAAAGTTCATGATTTTTTTTTAAATTTATTATTTTATCGTTAATTAAATAGAATGGTACTAAGGTCAATTTACGTCTCAAAAATTAACTTCAAAGTTTAATAAGATATTTTTAAAAACGTTGAGGTACCATTTTAATATTATCAAAAATACAAAATATCAAGAGTATGTTTCGCTATAAAATGGGGTACTAATATGATTTAATTTTATCCCTTTATTTTTTAAAAAGAGATATTTTTTCAATAATAAAATAATAAAAATAGTACAATTAACGTGAAGACCTTAGTATAAAATATGTTAACTCCAATAATGATCAATTCTACTAATGAGTTTGGAAAAAAAAAAAAAAAACGTATGCGTTATTTTAATAAAAGAAATACGTCAAATTTCGAACACACATAGGGCTCTCTAAACATAACTCTACAGTTGATAGAAACCTCGTTTTAAAGATTTGCAAAATTAAAACTTCATCGTGGAATCTCTGAGACTAGTTTATTTTTGTTGGGCTCTTGACATATGCTTTCCAGATTGTTACTTTTATTTGATTAGGAAAAAAAAAAAAAAATATATATATATATCTTAGCAACATGAGTTATATATATATATATATAAAGTATATACGATTGCCTTTATTAGCTGTAAAGAATGTTATTGCTCATTGGCTCTTGATACGTGAGAACTAACTTTTGATTCACTAAAATATCTTGCGCGATCCATTTCGTTTTACTTATAAACATGCCTTTTATGCTAGCTATTATGATTTCCCCTTTTGTGACGACAGTGTTACTATTTTTCTAATTACTGAGGACTGAGGACTACAACTTATCTTCAATCTTAAATCTTATCTTAAAAATTTTAAAAATGAAAGGGATAGAATTACATTGGACTATACCATTTTATGATTTCCCGCTGTTCATCTCAACTCCAATCATTTCCTTTTTTTTTTCTTTTGTCCTTTTCGGAGGTAGGAACTTTCATAAGGCACGCATAATTCTTAGGTATCAAAGACAAAAGACGAATCCAAATATCCAAATATCCAAAATGATGTCTTAGTCCAATTCAACAATGAATTACTATTTAATTACATTATTGTCGTATTTGGCAGATTTTAAACGAAATTCCAAAATTCATAAATAGGTATATAATCTTTTTATGAATTCGTTGCCATAATTTATTATAGCCTTATAAATTTTTTTTTTTTTTTTTAAAATCCCATTTGATTGAGCAAGGTTCACTCACAAAAGTGGCAACAACTTGGCAGGTAGGTTCCACGCAAGAACCTCATCCAATCCCAAGTTTTGCATCTTATTATAAATATTACATTTTCCCCATGCAATGAATGTGATAGAAAAGTCTAATAAAAATATAATATAGTTTATGCCCATTTGCATTATTAGTTCCCAACAATAAAAAATTAAGAAGCAGCCTTTCTCTCTCTCTCTCTCTCTTTTTTTTTTTTTTTTTTTTTTTTTTTTAATTTTAGCTGGAAAAAGAAGATGCCTCTTGGCAATAATTTTTGGGAGAATTAATTCAGTCTTTAATAGACTAGTCAAACGTTACGATCAAGTCCTCCTCGTGTTGGAGGCTTCTGTTCTAGATTGCAATTTGCAAAATCTATATTGGTCAAAAGAAAAGGAGCAATTTGCAAAATCTGTAATTAGTCTTTTTTTTTTTTTTGGTCAAGTCTTTCAAAGACGACCAATCCACACAGGTCTCGCCCGGTTGCTTAAGTAATCGTTTTGGGTCGGACGATACTCTGGCCTACTGGATAATTTATTGCATTTGAAAAAATAAAAATAAAAATAAAAAAAGTCGTTGTGACCAAACAAAAATCTATTGATTTTCTGATAGATAACAAAAATCTATTGATTGTTCCATACTATCTTTTTATTGTTTTTTTTTTTTTTTTTTTTTTTTTTTTTTTTTTTTTGCCTTTGTTCTAGTTTGCATATTGGGTTAATAAAAAAATGGTTCCCAAATTTTATGAAAAATCCCACTATAATCTTTGACTTTCATTTTTTTTTTGTTTTTTGTTTTTTTTCAAAATGATCTTTCTCTACACGGTGCAAAATCAATCCTTTTGTCAATTTTTTTTTAAAAGGGACGAAAAATACCGCATGATACATGTATAGGATTGTTGGTCCTTGGATGCTTGAATTATTAAGTGGGCATTAAATGTCAGTTGGCAGATATTGGAGGAGGATTTTCATTTACTATTCAGCAAAAAAAAAAAAAAGAAAAAAATCGCTATCGTTTACTGTAGGGCCACAATAAGTATCATCTCTTACTTAATTCTGTCATCACATAATCCGAAGAAAATGTTCATTTACCCCTCGCTTTTTTTTTTTTTTTTTGGCTGAAACATTTATCCCTCACTTAGATGGCACATGCGTAACGTTAGCAATTCTGTCTAAACTTTAACCCTCGGATTAAATTTGAGATGTAATGATACATGAATGTCAGAGATATTTTAAATATCTAAAGATTAAAATGAGATTCTCTAAAGATTCGGGAAGAAAGGTACCTTTGTTTATATTTTTTGTATCACGCTTTGTTTGGACTGTCTCAACTTGCTCTTTTTATTTTTATTTTATTTGTTTGTAAGTATTGAAACGTGATCAAAACAACGAATTTGATAATTAGCGTGAAAATGTGCGCACTCCCTAGCTAATCCCTATTCAAAATTAGTATACAAGATTTTCACAAAAAAAAAAAAAAATGATGTATAAGAAAAAAATACCGTGCATTTTCCACGTGTTAAAAAACCACTTGTGTATTGCACTTTAAGTTCCAAGGATGACATCACATATACCACGTGACGTGGCATTGCTATTGGCTCCCATATTCCCAACCGCTTGCTACGTCGTCAACAAATAGTAATTGATGGGTTATGAACTGATGAACATTGACAATTTCAATCTCGTTAATTTATTGCGACTTTGCGAGTCACGTATCTTATACCAGATCGATTGGGCTCTTTTACCGTTTCTTGCTTCTAGAGTTGTTGTGTTGACCACGTCACATACACTTATATACACACCGTATAAATATATATATATATATGTACCGAGCAGTAATTAATACAGCAGTATACGGTGGACGCTATACATCGCTGTATCCGTCCATTATCTTCTAGAAGTCGTTGGACCTTTTTTTTATATATAAATTTATATCTTTCTAATGTGAAAACCAATTAATGGCAAACGGTGAAAAACCAAATCTCAATGGCTGTCTTTCATCATAACTTCATTTCATATTGATTATTGCGGGGGCCACCACTTATCCTTTTAACATCGATGGTAATCCAATGGCAGGCGGGTGTGCGAAGTTGACTCCGCCCGTGATCCAACCAACATCTTCCAAGCAAGCACTCGCACCCAAGTCCATATTCATATCTTTGGATAAAACCCAAGTCTTTGTAGTGGACCATCCCCCTTCTAGATTTTTTATTTTATATATATATATATATTTTTTTTTTATTTTTAATATAATCTACGCATTTATCCTAGATAGATAGATGGAGAAATCGGGGGAAAAAAAATAGGTAGGGGACTGCATTTTAGGGGGGTTTTTGGCAATTATTGTCTTTATTGCTTTTGTTTTGGTTTATGTCGTTAGGTTTTTGTATTGTCGTATCGTTTGTTGGGTAGGTTATGTTGTCGTTTGTTTGTATATTGATGAGCTTAAGAACGCAGAGAGTAGCAACAGCCACAAAGCTTTTTCAAGAAAATATCACATTGCCAACACTTTTTTTCGGGAAAAAAAATCGTTATTTTCTTCTATTGTTGTGTTTTCCGGTGTTTTCTTTCTTTTTTTTTATTTTTTTTAAAGAAAAAACAAAAAAAACAAAAAAACAAACATTCATGATGAAGCTTAAAACTAACATAATATTTCCAGCATTATGATCTGTAATGGATCATACGTAAAAAGTTTCAATTTTATATGTCAATGTTTTTAAGAAGGCTTTCCAAGTTCAATTTTAGATGTCATTCAGATAGTTGAGCTTTGAAAAAGATCATCTACACAAAACATCCAACATATCAAATATAAAATGCTCAGAAAACATGCAGATCAAGACCTTAATTTCGCTCTTTTATTAATAGTCAACATCAGCCATCCGAACTCACACCTAAGGTACGCATATATTTTTACGACTCTGGTTTTGAAAGGACTCAACAAGTCAATATCATTCCAGATCATGTTCTTCCTCATTTGAAGCACTCCCGTTGGCTCCAGAAGCAAGCTCGGCTTCGAATGCCTTGGAATTGGAAGGCAGCCTTTCGTACATCCTAGATGCCGACGGAAGAAGCCTGCACCGTCCCAAGGTCAGGCTCCGGCTGAGCTTCTCGTAGGTCCATCTCTGCTGAACATAAACTAAAGCTGCCAGAACAATGGCTGTCAAAGGAATCGTGATGTCCCCAAACTTGGAGTAGAAATTCATGCTTGGATCAACAAACTCGTACTCCTCACGGAAGTAAGGATTGCGAGTAGGAGCTCTAACATAATCATAGAGGTGCGGGAGAAGTCTAACAACTGTGATCCCAATGTAGTATAGCTTTCTAAGTGGTTTAGAATCGATCTGCCAGATTATATTGCTGATGATTTGTGGAAGCAGGAAAAAATCTTGGACAAGGCCAACATATTCTTCTAGCTCAATTTCCCATTCACTCAGGACGTGAGAGCTTCCTTGTGAAAATGCGTAGCTTCTTCTTAGAATTGGTTTTTGACCAATTCCCATGCTGTGAAGAATTAGGACTAGTATATATCCAATTATGTGTATCACCAAGGTGGACACAAGCACCTTCTTGTCACTGGGGACACGATGAGGTTCGCGAGGAGCTCGAGTTTGTAATCTGACCCGAGATTTCCACACCTTCTGACAAAGCCTCAGAGTGAGTAGTAATGCTGCCATTACCAGAAGCTTCACCATGTAGTCGAGTACGTGGAACCATCTACTATTCTCGAGATCATAGGACGATGATTCAAATGATCGATCTGAAGATTCCTTCTTGAAGAGAGCTTCTGCGTCTGTGACAAGAGGAATGAGATACCCAATTGCTTCTACACCGAGCATGACAAGGGACATGAAAGGAACAGAATCCGTTTTTTGGTTGATGTAAAACAACTGGCTTGTGATGCAAGCAATCGCCAGCGAAAGAGTCAAAATCCGGAGGATCCCCTCGATGCCCCTTTGAGAGAGGATATCTTCTCTCTGCCTCCTGTAAGAGATTGGGAAAGTTCGGAGCTTGACTGGACTAAAACGGAGGGGATCATCGTCGTTCCTTTGGCTGGCTATGGAAATGCTGGCCGTTGGATCGACTAACCACCGAGAAGTAGTTGGAGGATACGACACAATCACCTCGATCAAACAATCCAGACCATTATCAAGATCCATGCTGTCGTGTAAGACTTGCCACGAGGCTCGGACATCCCTGCAGCCAAGTAAATACATCTTTCCAACACGCTGGTCATAAAGCCCCTCCAAGAAAAGAGCGGAAACGTTGTTGTATTCCTTTCCAGTGATAAAGAGCTGTGCAGATACATTCAGGAGAAGCTGATTATCTGAGTATTGCGCCTTTGTACGGTAAGGAGCTTCCTCTGCAGTGGAATTGGAACTAATTGACCAATATTGCCTGAATAAGGGACCAACGGAGAGGATATCCATCTGAATCTCAGTTCTTGACGGCCGAGCATTGGTAGTTTTCGAATGAGGAACTGCAGCAGTTAGAAGTGAGAGATCTTCTGAGAGGACAGAAAGACTAACTTCGAAAGCTTCAGAGTCTTCTAGCTTGGGGAAAGGCAGCAACGATTTCTTGATCACAGTACGAAAACTGAATTCTTCGTTTCTTTCTAACAAGGCACCAGCCAAACCCGACTTTGTGTAATTGTAGGATGGACGGGAGAATTGGAAGTAATTCCAAAGCTCTGAAGGCTGCAGTATTCGCATTTCAAATGAGAGAGGAAAGTATGATGGAGGCTTGGTACTAAGGCTGGAAAAGGTCCCGTACATTATGCTTCTTTGCTCAATGGAAAATGAGATTGGTATGTACAAACATATCCGAGAATCGCATGCATTCCCTTCAGCATCAACAATTCCAGGGCAACCAACCATGCAAAGCTGCCCACTTGCAGAATTCCATATTCCCTCAGCAGCAACAGTCATGTTGCCAAGCCCGGATCTCATTGCTGCAGTATATCGATTCTCCGAGGGGGGAGAAGCTCTAAAGACAGCTGAAACCCTTGCAGAAGAGTCATATCTATTGACTGTTTTTTGGTCACACTTAATGACTTGCAGATAAAGATTGACCCCTTTAAAACCGCCATTGGTCGCATTGATCCCTTTGTTTGCACTTGCAAATGGACCCAACTTACTGCAGAAATTGTCTTCCCCATCACACTGCCAGTTTGGCAGAACAGTGAAAGCTTGTTGCCGGGTAACCCCTTTAATGATTTTGCAGAACCGATTTCCCTTGTAGACTGGAATCACGGCAGTACCATTCTTGTAAGGATAAGGATCACATGCCTTTGACACTATTTTCTCCGAGGTGAATTCGTAGTTTGCTGAACTTCCCAACTGAGAAGTTACACGAACATGATCAAAGTACTTATCGCTTGATTTTGGGTTCAAACTTCTCATTTCCCCTCGGATGGCCCTGCTTGTCAAAGTGAACTTCTTCGGAAAGCGAAGAACGAGCAGAATTCTGTCATCCTCCAACAAAGGAGGCTGCTGATTCTCATAAGGTTTAGAAGCATTAACCCATTCCCATGGATGACTGGACGGGTTATTAATCTCCCGATCAGGCAACATCGTGTTCCCCAACATGCAAACCACTCTCTCCCCACCATTCCTTTTCGATTCAGTATAAATCCCTTGGAAGTGAATTGTGAGTTCAGACTGCCCAGGCCCAATCCCAAAGTGGGAATTTTGATCATAACCGTAATCCCCAAAATTACCATTAGCAGTGATGCCAATAGTCATCAATCCGCTAACACTCACTGAGTTCTTCGATCGATGGGCAAGATTAACATCCTTAACCCAGAAAGAAACCAGGTTCAATGGATCACTACCCTCAGTAGGGACTGTTGAAAAGTACCTATCAGACTGATATGCATTCTCTTTATATCTAACATCAAATGGCATGATTGGGGCTTTTCCATTTACCTGAATCCAATCCCCATTCTTAAAAGAAATCTGTCTTTTGATACTATAAACACTGCTATCTTCAGGGCTCAGTTCAGAAGCAGAAGACAGAACAGATTTACATTCTTCTTTCACTTCATCGATTCGATCATACTTATAGGTCACTGGAGATTCATTTCTAACCTCAGTTGGTTCTTCTTGTTCTATTTCTACCCAACTATCAGGTAATGAAAACCCAAAACCCAACAACCCACACAGAGTCCACACGACAATAGCAAAATAAACAAGTTTCATGGTTGCCAATTGTCAAATATCCCAACTTTCCTCAAGATTTCTCAGCTATAAGCGAATCAAAAGACAAAAATTTTAAAAACCCAATTTCTGTAATCTCATAAATTGCAGTTTCAGAAGTCAACAAAAAGGAGAAGTTCAATCTTGTGGTTTAGGGGGTATTGGGGAGATCACAAAAGTAAAAAAGACGCATTTTTTGTACGAGGAACACTAACCTGAATCCGACCATTCTTGCATAGATTAGGCTGAGAAATAACCCCACTTGCACGAATTTGGATCTCGATTTGAGTCTTTAAAGGACAAAAGAAAAGTCTGTTTATGAGTTTATGGAGGATTGGAGTTGAAGACTGAAGTGGTTCGTTGGAATAGTGTAATGACTTCTCAAGTCGTCGAGGCTTTCTTCCCACGCTTTCTTTCGGCGCGTGTGAAGTAACTAACACGGATGACAAATTTTTCATAATTTCGTATTTTCGTGTTTGGCCGAAAGCTCGCACAAAATAATTTTTGCCAAAAAAAGAAAAAAAAAACGAAACGCAACATTTTTTTGCTGTACATGAGATTTTTATTTTTATTTTTATTTTTGCTATGAAGATAATAATGGAAAAGAAATCACAAAAGTTTAGGACTCATTTTTTTTATTCGTTTAAATTAAAAAGTAAATATATATTAAAAATAATATAATAAAATATTTTAAATTTAAATTTAAAATATTTTATTATATTATTTTTAATATATATTTACTTTTTAATTTAAACGAATAAAAAAAATGAGTCCTAAACTTTTGTGATTTCTTTTCCATTATTATCTTCATAGCAAAAATAAAAATAAAAATAAAAATAAAAATAAAAATCTCATGTACAGCAAAAAAATGTTGCGTTTCGTTTTTTTTTTCTTTTTAGTTGCCGAATCACTTTTTTTAGTTCCAAAACATGTTATTCAGCAATATATATATATATATATATATATATTCCAGAACATGTTGGATTTTTTTTTTTCAATGATACGTGAATTTCCCTTATTTGTTCAAGCCCAATTTTTAATAATTCCAGAAAAAAGGTCAATTTTTAATTTATAGTTTTTCTTAAAAAATTTTTACCGAGTGAATGCTTTATTTAAGTCCCTGCCCAATGTCCCACACAGTCCCAGAACATGTTTTATTTTGAAAAGATAAAATTTTCCTTGTAATTTAAAAAAATAAATTGAACACCGACTATTTAATTTTTTTATTTTTGTTTTGGATCTGAGATGTCCGAAGATTTTTAGAGTTGACAGTATTGACTCGATCATATCATGTATTATCCACTTTTTATTATTATTACGTTTTAGCGCCTTTTTTGGGAAAATTAAGCTGGCATCTCATTTTTTTGGAAAAAAAAAATGTAAATATATAAGACAAAAAACTATCTTGTCTTTACGGGTTTGTGCATTTAAGATCGCAAGAAATAAAGTTTAGAAATTCATTTTAAATTTCTTAGCTATTATCAACTTTAAAAATCACTTCTTCATTTATGCCACATAGTATTATAATTTCTTAGGTGGCGTTTAGTTCATAGATTCAAACCATATGATTAGAATTATTTTTTATTTATGTGTATTTTTTATGAGAGAAAATACTGTAACGAATCACGAATCATGATTCGAATCAGGAAACGAATCTAGGTACCAAATAGACTCTTAATGTTGGGGAATTTTTCCAAAGACCCTCGAAATCAATACACATATCACAGGATAAAATGGAGATGAGGAACTGAAACCCAAGTCAAAGTATATTGACCAATTCACAAATTGAATCCCATCTCAATTGAAGGAGGACGTAACCTCGATCGAAATGGATAGACCGAGACCGAAATCGATAGAGAATTTTAATGCTACGAGATCAATATAGACTGAGATTAAGAAAGATAGTGAGGATCTGATACGAATTTACATACTAACGTATTCCTACTGAACAAAACTTCACTGTTTACATTTCCATGAATTCTTAAAGCGTGCCCCCCACTTAAGATAACTTTTTTATACCGCAAGTTCAACCAATAAAACTTCTAAATATCGTAAACCTGAACTATTCTTTTGTTGAATTAAATGAAATCAGTCATCGCCAGTTTACTCTCTATTCCATTTTTGTATCTCCTTTTTCTTTGAAATTTTCAATCATTTCCAAAACCGTGGCGCTGCTCCTCACTTTATATTATTCATCTTCTTTATGCTTTATGACGTCAATTTACTTCTTTAACATTGTTATGTTCACTACTTTTGTAACTTTTTATTATTTCTTAAGATTGTTGGCTTTAATAATTAACAACAACACATATTAAAGTTTCTATAAAAAAAAAACAATGAGTACATTAAAGTGTATAATTTATCTTTTTTTATGTGAATAGTATGTAATTTATTTATTATATATGTTATATTTTAGCTGTAAAAATTTCTCTTTTAATTTGAGCCCCCACTCGAGTCACATTCTGACTCCATTCTTTGTGGGGATGACTTGTGTCAGAAGGAGAATCTTCATTCAGTGATACACCCCCCACTATCTTCCTTAATAAATGCACCTAAACCGGACGCAACACCTGTAAAGGTAAATAACGGAATGAAAAGTGACATTTTCAAAGGAGAGAAACCTCTGGGGACATTCCAAAGGCAGGACATCCTTGGAGAAGGAAAGGAATGGCGACGTGTTGTAAGAGTAATTCCACAAAACGACAATAATTTTTGGAGAAGGATTTCACCAAACAACAAGTCACTTTACTTGAGGAAGCATATGCAGTACAACTGTTTTGAAAAATAGATCTTTACTCTACATGTGGAGCTCTAGTTTGCCGCTAGATCTAAGTTAACAAAGATACTCATATGTTGTATTGTGGTTAGATAAAAAGACTTGTATCTTCGGTGGAGTTCATTCAGTTTTTCACAGACTTGTACAGAGAGAGAAACTCCACCAGTGTACAGAGAGAGAAAGTGTAAGAGTGTTTGGGTTCCAAGAAAATCTGGGTAGAAATAGGTTCTTTATCTCCCACTGGGTATTTTCTTGAGGGAAACACTTGGGTCTCTTCTCTAGGAATCAATCTTTGTAAAGAGTGTGAGTTTTCTTTGTGATTGGTGAGCTGTGAGGGTGTAATCTCTTCTCTAATAGTGGAATAGAGCTTTCTGTGGAATTGCTCAACATGGACATAAGACAAGTTTTTGTCCGAACCTCGGTGAAACAAATCTTTTGCGTTCTTGTTGATTGATTTCTGAGATTTGGGTAATTTGAGTATGGTGTTGGCAATCGGCTAACAGTGGTATTAGAGCTTCTGGTTAGAGGTGGAATTTTGCAGATTCAAGGGCTTCTCAGGCAGTCTTGATCAAGAACCGAAGAGAAGAAGAAATGGGCACTGCCAAATTTGAGCTCGAGAAGTTTGATGGTTCTAGAGATTTTAGCTTGTGGAGGAAGAAGTGAAGAGCCATTCTTGTTCAACAGAAAGCTATGAAAGCACTAGGAGACATGAAGGACGTGAAGGGAACCGAAGAAGAGAAAGCCGAAATGCAAGAAATCGCTTATTCTACAATCATCCTCTACCTAGCCGACAATGTTCTCAGACAAGTAAACGAAGAGGATACGACAACAAAAGTATGGCTCAAACTTGAGTAATTATATATGACAAAATCCCTTACAAACAAGATCTATCTAAAGGAGAGTCTTTTCAGCTTTAGAATGGATACCTCTAAAAGTCTAGAAAAGAATCTTGACGATTTCAATAAGATTATAATAGATCTTGCCAATATTGGGGAAAAAATAGAGGAGGAAAATCATGCGGTGATTCTCCTAATCTCTTTACCATAAAATTTTAGGGAAGTCAAGAATGCTATTAAGTATGGCAGGGAAAGTTTGTCTCTAGAGGATGTACTTTTTGCTTTGAGATCCTGGGAACTAGAGATCAAATTTGAGATATCTCAAAGAAAAGACATTGTTGGAGACGAAGGTATTTTCTCAAGAGGGAGGCCCACGAAGAGAGATCACATCAAACCGAAAGTTAGACCAAATTCAAGGTCTAAATCAAGATCAGCTTAAAGAAAGTGTTTTCACTGTAATAAGCCTGGGCATATCAACCAGTTCTGCAAAGAGTGGAAGAAAAAACTTGCTTAACAGAAAAACTCAGAGGGAGAAGCTACAGCCAATCAAGCTGAAGGATGTGACAGTTCAGAGATCCTGGTTGTAGGGGTAAGCAAATAAGAAGATGAGTGAATTTTAGATTCTAGGTGCACTTACTAGATGTGCTCTAGGAAATCTTGGTTCACACACTATGAGGCAATAAACGGAGGAAAAGTTCTGATGGAAAATAACCAGTCTTGTAATGTAACAGGACTTGGTTCAATTACCCTGATGATGGATGATGGAACACTACAAGTTCTCAAGAATGTTCGTCATGTCCCTGACATAAGGAGAAACCTCGTCTCCTTAAGAACATTAGATGACTCTGGTTATTCCTACAAAGCAGAAAGTGGAACTCTAAAGATTTTGAGAGGAAATCTGGTTACAATGAAGGGCAAGAAAGAACAAGGCTTCTATGTGTTAATGGGACAAACCACTATTGGAATTACAGCCACAGTAGAAAAGGATAAAGTAAATGCCACTATTTGGCATAAAAGATTAGGCCATGTTAGCGAAAGAGGGCTACAAGAACTAAGCAAGCAGGGTCTGCTTGGCAAAGACAAAATAAACCAGATGGAATTTTGTGAGTAGTGCATAATGGGCAAACAACATAGATTAAGCTTCACCTCATCAAGCTACTGAGCCAAAGTGCCTCTAGACTATGTTCATGCAGACTTATGGGGACTTGAAAGAGTGGCTACACACGGCGGTCACATGTATTATCTTTCCATTGTAGATGATCATTCTAGAAAAGTATGGATCTATCTGTTAAAAACTAAAGATGCATGCTTTGACAAATTTAAACAATGGAAAGCTCTAGTTGAAAACTAGAAAAATAAGAAACTTAAAGCCCTCAGAACTGACAATGGTATGGAATTCTGCCATGAATATTTTACCCAGTATTGTCTAGAAAGAGGTATAGTTAGGCAAAGAATTGTAAAGAAAACCCCCTAACAAAATGGGGTAGTTGAGAGGATGAACATAACCCTTATGGAAATGGTCAAGTGCATGTCGTTTAGGTCTGGGTTAAGTAAGAACTTTTGGGAAGAAGATGTTAGTACAACAACTTATCTTCTAAACCGATGTCTGTGTAAGCCTAACAACCTGAAAACTCCAGAAGAATGCTGGACATGAAAATCACCAGCTTTGAGTAATGTAAGGGTATTTGGTTATGCAGCCTATGCACACTAAAGGGAAGGAAAACTAGACCCAAGGTCCATAAA